TCAGGGGAAGCCTCTCTAAAGAATCAGGACCCAGATCCCAACACAGGGGTTTGTTGAGCTGCCTTCTGAGGACCACTGGTGCTATACCTGGGAATACTGGGGGTTCCCTGGGGATTCCCTGGGGAGATGGCGTTGGACCGAGCCAGTTCTGATTCTTTAGAGGTTAAGGCCTTTCGACCCATCAAAACCCAGTAGTTTTACACAGTTCTATGTTATTTTGGTTCATTTTGGATAAGTTTGGGATATTTTCAGGGGAAGCCTCTCTAAAGAATCAGGACCCAGATCCCAACACAGGGGTTTGTTGAGCTGCCTTCTGAAAACCACTGGTTCTATACCTGGGAATATTGAGGGTTCCCTGGGGGTTCCCTGGGGAGATGGTGTTTTAACAGATTTGTAAGGGGACCGAGCCAGTTCTGATTCTTTAGAGGTTAAGGCCTGTCGACCCATCAAAACCCAGTAGTTTTACATAGTTCTATGTTATTTTGGTTCATTTTGGATAAGTTTGGGATATTTTCAGGGGAAGCCTCTCTAAAGAATCAGAACCCAGATCCCAACACAGGGGTTTGTTGAGCTGCCTTCTGAAGACCACTGGTGCTATACCTGGGAATACTGGGGGTTCCCTGGGAATTCCCTGGGGGGATGGTGCTTTAACAGATTTGGAAGGGGACCGAGCCAGTTCTGATTCTTTAGAGGTTAAGGCCTGTCGACCCATCAAAACCCAGTAGTTTTACATAGTTCTATGATGTTCTATGTTATTTTGGTTCATTTTGGATAAGTTTGGGATATTTTCAGGGGAAGCCTCTCTAAAGAATCAGGACCCAGATCCCAACACAGGGGTTTGTTGAGCTGCCTTCTGAAGACCACTGGTGCTATACCTGGGAATACTGGGGGTTCCCTGGGAATTCCCAGTGGGATGGTGCTTTAACAGATTTGGAAGGGGACCGAGCCAGTTCTGATTCTTTAGAGGTTAAGGCCTGTCGACCCATCAAAACCCATGCTTTTTTATCGCTTTCTTTTGTATTCCCCAGTGTTACTACATTCATTGGCCCTGCATTTTCTCTAAAGAATCTAGACCCAGTGAATCACCAAGGAGGAAGAGAGGAAAAAAACATTCTTTAGAGGGAGAGCTGGTGGCAGCACCGATCAGATTTAGATTCTTTAGAGATCTTTAGAGCTCAAGAAAGGATACTCAGAAGAGCCCAGAAGATTCAATACGTGTTGTACATGTTTTTGCCATTGTTTGGCCATGTGTAGCCCAGGAGAATTTCCGAATGATTTCACAGAGAGGATGATCGAGAAATACTCGGAGAAGGTGAATCACGATGGTTTCTTCCTAGGGGTAGCAGATGCCTTTCTTTTTGCGGTGAAGCAGGGCAAGAGTTTAGCCATTGCAGTTGATCCTCAGCCTGATCGGGCCTTGGAGGTTCTCAGTGCCAGAGATTATCTGTGCGGGATTCTTCCTGAAAACATCCAGATCGAACGGAGAGAAGGTGACGACTTGGATACCAAGAGTCCTGATTCTTGGTGCATAGTCAGCTGCGACGCCAAGTTTGCTCAAGAAGGTGAGCGGAATCACTACGTCCCAGCCATTTTCAAGGATCAGCTCACTCAGGACGAGTGGTTTGATCGCACTGTTTTGGGCCAACGGTCCACTCGGAATGAGTTGAGGGAGAAAGAGCAGGCATTGAGGACGCTTGATTCAGACCTATAGTGGATGCCACATCATGCCTCTGTTCCATTTTTATTGAAATATTCTATGAAGGATCAAAGAATTGGAGCTGATTTCATTAGGGAAACACAAGGCCACCAAAATGCCTACTACATTTTAATGTCTGTATTTTGCTATGCCCGGCAAAACGATGAACGGAGTTATTGTATGAATCTATGTAAAATTTTGCTACTCTCATCATGTCTAGTGTCAGTTTTGTTGCGGCTTTTGAGCCATGTTTTGGCCAGCACTTGCAAAATTGAGAAGGTCATTTTAGGGTTCCAAAATGGCAAAAAATGCTTCCACAACATAGTCCTCTAAAGAATCATACCCGGCTGCCCTTCATAGAGAACGCGACCCCATGCAAACAGGCAAAGTTAATTCTCTAAAGAATCAAGCAGAAATTGACAACCCGGGTTGTCTTATTCTTTAGAGGAAATTCCAAGGGGGATAAATATATAACATATATATATAATTATATACAATATATGTATATATATATACATGTATCATGTATTGATATTGTGAACTAAAGATTTTTTGTGCGCATTTCAATCCGTCCTTGACTCGCACCCTGTTTCAGGCCAAGATGCTGGCTAAGCGCATGAAGGATGCAAGAGTTCCCTGGTGTCATGAACGGAGAGGACTGATGTAGGACCAATGTAGGAGACGTCACGGAGAGGTCACGGAGACGTCACTTTGTTTGTGGTGTTCTCAGTGTTCTCCTTCTTTCTCCCTCTCCCCAGGGCTCAAATGGCCACCATCCAAGTGACATTGGTGTTGTGAGATTCTCAGGTCATGGACGTTGTGTCCTACAACACGTTAATCAAGGCGTACGTGCGGCACAATCTCTTTGACCAAGCCGTCTCCTTGTTGCTGACAATGCGTCTGCTCCTCAGCTTCCCAACCTTGCCAAAGTTTGGGACGTTTGGGTCTGTGGAAAGGCCCGTAGCACGTGCTGTCTCCAAGATTCTCGGAAAAATGTGTTGATCTCATCTCCAAGGCGAGCATCCAACACACATGCCCAACACTGTAACTTACCATGAGCTCATCGGTGCATTGTTGAAGACCGGGAAGGAGATCCACAGGACCTACAAAAGCAATGCTTGAACATGCTTGAACTAGTCGTAGTATGTTGATGTATGTTGTAGTTCGCCTGTCTGTGATGCTGTTTGTCCTTGCAAGCTTTTTACAAGCTCCTTGACTCAGATGCATGCTACCAAGTCAGGCAGAGGATTACCTTGGCTTGCTCAGGACAAGAGCTTGGGAACTGGTCAATGCTACTTGGTATTCTGAATAATTTCAGAACCTGGATGCACTGTGTTCAGACTTTATGAGGCTTGGAAGCTTGGGATTGTCGCAACTCACTTCAGATCAGCTAAGTCGACCAAGTCGACCAAGTCGACCAAGTCGACCAAGTCGACCAAGCTGTAAGTTTAAGGAGATGAAAGAAGACAAGGTCATCCCCAACAAGCCGCTGGTGTCGAACTTGCTTCGAAGCTTGAGGCCGCAATCCAAAGCCAGACGGCTAGATCGGCTAGCCGGCTAGCCTTCCCATAGCATGGTTCGTTGCTGATTTCAGTCTTTCGTCATCGTTTTCAACATCCTTTTCAATCTTTTCAAGCAACACGGTGTTTTTTGCATCAACTGAAACTCCTGAATCTGTGTGAGTGCCCCTTGGCAGCCCATGACTGTGACCGTTCCCTCCGGAGGCCCAAATCTCACAGCTCTGAGATCACTCGGGCAATGCAACTGGTGGACTCTATCCAGCACCAGGTGGGGACAGGGCAAATCGTGAGATGAAGCTATGGCAGCTATGGCAGCTATGGCAGCTATGGCGGCTATGGCAGTTGTGCGGATGTTGTGAAATGTTTGAGCAGTTTTTAACAACTTTTCCTTTTTTTGGCTGCTTGTGCTGCAGTTTAAACTTTCCAAGCATAAGTAGCGGTCGGAGTGTTGTTGAAATGAATGCCTTCAATTCATTGTCGCCACTGAGTGCTTGCTCGCTTTGCAGGGTTGGATTCTTTGAATCTGCATGCATACCTTCCCCAGACATGGCGGACCTGCCATCCAACAAACCACCCAGATCGTAGAAGAGTTAATTTTTGGGACATCAAAACAGTCTTGCTCCAGGTTGACGAAGGGCTGCTGTGCACAGTGTTGGAAGCAGGTGTCCGTGTTGGCAAGGCACGGTGGAGTGTTTAAAAAACACCATCTACAAACCCAAAGCTTTGTGGTACCAGTCTATCATGCAAGCAGTGCATAGCAGTGCTGCAAATGATCTTCATGTTTTCCCGCAAATCTCAATTCTCTTCGATCAAGCCTGTGATCTTCACATTTGATTGCTCAGGCTCAGACCACTTGAAATCTGCCGAGGCTTCACTCGTGCGGTCGAAATTGGAATGCTTCCACGGCGAGAAAGCTGAGTGCCCGGTAAAGATCACTGGTGCGCATAGCTTTGGATCCTTGATCAAGGCACTCCAAGCACTCCGACTCAGATGACTCCAATCTTCCCTCAAATTATCCTGCGAATGCCCATGACATTGTGTTGCTTTGGTTGACGAGTTGCTCTATTGCCTATGACTGCCTATGACTATATAACTCTCGTTCGCCCACATGGCAAAATTTCAAGAGTGTCAACTCGGCGATGTCCAGTAAAGATCATTTGGCCATACACCAAATCTTTGTTTGAACGTCTTCGAGCCCACACGACTATTGGAAGGCCTATGGCTTTGTCAAAGATGTGGCCGGCGCCTGGAACTGCTGGCGGGAAATGTCAGTGCAGCACCTCAAGTCCCTCGACTCAACTCGACTCTGTCTTGATTCTGTCTTGACTCAACTGTCATACTCCGTCAACTGAGTCATATACATGTCAGTTTGCAACGGTTTGCAAGGTTTCACTAGGACAATACGTCCGATACCCCTTTTGGCCAAAAACCGGGCACAGGGCCCTTGAGTCTTAGCGCGCAGCGCCGAAAAGCCGCACTACGGTGCACAACCAACACTGGTAGCGGAGCGGTGCAAGACGGGACCTACGGGTTGCCGCATCCGCCCTACCTCGGGCATAGCCCGGAGGTTCCTCTGAGGTCCTTGGCCTCAGGAGGTCCTCGGTTCCTCTGAGGTCGCCGGCCTCAGGAGGTCCAAGGTTCCTTCGAGGTCACCTGGCCTCAGGAGGTCCAACATGCCGGACAAACGGTCCTGGCACTCTGGCCACGGTCATGGGTCACGACGGCCCGACCGACGAGAGGACCATGGTGGAGACAGCGAGTACACCTACGAGTACCTCGAAGATGAAGAGTCCGAACAAGAGGACGAGCCGAGGCAGGTGCGACCAGCACCTCCGGCAGCTTCCGCCGCGCCGGAACGGAAGCAGCGTACGGATGGGTTACACCGGCCCCCTACGCCTCCGCGGGAGGCGCGTGCGGCGGAGGTTCCACGCACGGTGCCGCGGGAGCCGCCTCCTCCCCCACCAAAGGAGAGGAAGGAAAAGAAGGAGAAAAAGAAGAAGGCGGACCCCAAGAAGGAGCACAAGTCCGAGAAGGACAAAAAGAGCCGTCGCGGTGACCCCCACGACAGGCGTAGCAGGTCAACAGGCCGCCGCCCTGCTGAGGAGCGGTCCACAAGGCGTAGCCGGTCACCGAGCCGCCGCCATGACCACCGGGAGCCACGGTCGCCGCCGCGATCCCCGGTAGAACTGCGACGGGCGCCGGGACACAATCCTTACCCGGAAGACATGCCGTCAATGAACACCGGTTCCTCGGGAAGTGGCAATGCTGGTGCGTCTGGTGCACTGCCAACACCAGTAAGCCCAACCCATGGTCCGCCCGACCTGGGGTCAGCTCTTAGCCCGGGTGACTGGGTGTGGGTGTCATCCCCTGGGTACTGGGTGTTCGTGCCCCACGAAGTGCCCCACCAGAAGGGTCGCCACCAGTCCCCTGGATGGGAAAGCGAAAAAGGGCGCCACAAAGGGAAGCGGCCCGAGTCCCCGAAGGGCTCGCCGAAAGGCCCTCCAAAAGGCCCGCCTAAAGGAAAAGGCAAAAATCCCCCCAAAGGAAAAGAATCCAAAGGGAAGGGGAAGAAGGGCAAAGGCAAGGGTCGCAAGAGGCGCAAAAACCGGCCTGGCCAACACCAAAGACGAAGGCAAGCCGAAGCAGCAGCACAGACCAGAGCCGAGGGAGGCCCGCGCGGACGGCGCCGCCGATCCGACCGCGGTGGTGGTGACGATGATGGTCCGCCCCCCGCTGAAGCGGAAGGTGACGGCCGTGATGCCAGAGACATCCCCCGCCCGAGGGAACATGGCCCAGGCGGTGGGGATGGTGATGAGCCCAGTGACGATGAGGACGACGACGAAGGCGATCATGAGGAAAGGGCTGAGAGTGAGACCCTGACCCATGACCCCGTCGTCGAGCCATCAGAGCCCGAGACTCTGGATCCAGGAGCGGCAGGTCCACACGGTCCTCCGGCTCCGGGTCCAAGAGGTGCCGGGTCACGCGCAAGCACGCCGTTGTTCCCTCCGAGACCCATCGGGAGCCCGCCAGGAAGCTCCCTGGGATCACGAACACGGCCGCGCCCAGCTCCGCCGATCCTACCACCAGGATCAGGCCGACGATCCGCCAGAACTTCCGACAGCCGCGCACCCGCGTCGGTGACGCTGCCTAGCGGGTCTAAGTGGGATCCACGCATGGGTCCGGCCCCGGGCATACGGTGGAAGTCAGGAGCTCCACCAGCGCCGCCAAAGTACACGGCAGACGCGAAGGAAGTGGGATCGTTCGACCGATACTCCCGAAGAGTTCGGCTCTGGGCAAAACGCGCATCCGGCTGGATGACGGACGGAGACGCAGCGCTCCTCCTCGTCGAAAGCCTGAGCGGCGCAGCCGAGCGCGAGCTCGAGTTCACGCCCCTCGTGGAAATCGAGAACGGTGGTGTGGAGTTTGTCCTCCAGCAATTGGAGGCAAGCTCAAACGAGCACCTGGTCTACCGCAAGCACCACTACCTTCGACAATGGGAAACTGTTCGACGGAAGGTTGGCGAGACCATGCGTGCCTATATCCACCGGTTCGACCAGTTGCACAAGCAACTGAGCCACATCGACGTGGACGTGAAGGCCACCTACAGCGGCGAAGCCCTCGGACATCGCCTTCTGGAAAGAGCTGGTCTGTCCACCGAGCAGGCAAGGATGGTGCTGATCGGATCCGGACAAAGCTTTGCGTACCCGTCCATCCGCGACAGCCTCCTCCTGCAGTACCCAGACACCCTTCCGGTGCCGGCCATTGGCAGTGGGCCAGGCAAAGGGAAAGGGAAGGGTGACAAGAAGGGTGCAAAGCAGGTCCACGTGGCCTCTCACGAGGAAGGCGGAGAGGAGCCGCCAGAAGCCGAAGATGAGGACAAAGAAGTAGCAGAAATAACAGCAGCGATCGACGTCTTGACGGTGACGGCACAGAAGTTGAAAAATATCACCCAAGGACGTCGGTGGACCGACGGAAAAGGAACGTCGAAGGATGGTGACAAGGGATCCACCTCGACCTCAAAAGGGAAGCCCTCCTTCTCCACGAAAGGGAAGGGAAAGGGCAAAAGCAAAGGAGACACAGGCAAGAACACCTCGCGGGTCAACGTCTGCGAGACGGCCCAGGACGAGGGCGATGCCGACGACGGATGGGAAGAGGCAAATGACGGAGACGATCACTACGACAACGAAGAGCAAGAGGATGACCAGTACGAGTCGTTCTTCGTCTTCATGACCAGCCATGAGGACACCTCGGTGGTGAACCCCTCTCCACAGGTGTCTCAGGTCCTGGCGGTGGCCCCCCAGTCCGCGGCAGGCCTGATGATCATAGACACAGCATGTCAAAAGACCTGTGTTGGCCGCGGGACATACCTTGCCCACTGCGACATCCTAAGGTCTTTCGGCCTGCGGTGTCAGTGGACGCCTGAATCAGAGAATTTCCGATTCGGCGCCGGAGGTCCGCAACAGTCCTCCATGCTGGTGGCAATACCAGCTGGGGTGGAAGGAGAAGCGATGGTCATTCTGGCCTCTCTCCTGGACGCCAGCATCCCCCTCCTGGCCTCACTGCGACTGCTGAGCCAGCTGGGTGCTGTGCTAGATCTGCCCAAACAAAGTTGCCGCCTCCACAAGATCGGAGTGACGGTGCAACTGGCCAAGACACTTGGTGGCCACTTAGCCTTACGTGTCACCCAGTTCCCCAAGGAGGGAATGCCACGGTCCGCAGACATGTGGCACCACAAACGACAGCCTGGTGTCGAAGTCGTGCTCGACCCTGCAAAAAGCGCCGCCTCCGCCGACGCTGACGCAAGGGGAGAGTCCGAAAGCACCAAGCACACCACACGCAACACCGGGATGGCAGAAGGGACTCACGTCCTCGCCGCAGCTGTCTCAGGCTCAAGCTCAGAAGCCCCAAACAGCACCGCAAGTGTCGGGAATGCCGCCCGGACACGTCGCGCCCTCGCCTCCGCAATGGCTTGTGGCATGGCGCGAGGTGACGGTGGGTCTCCTGACGTTGCTCCCCCGTTTCCTACGACTGGCCACTCAGTGCCGTCGACTCGGAGTAGAGCCAGTGACCAGCATTCTACGCCGTGGTCTGGCCCCCGAGCTGACGCCGGAGAACTGCACACACCCGAGCAACCTGATGCTCCGGTACGGGAATCGGCACGGCAGGTTCACGAGGTGCGCAATGTGCGGCGCCCGGTGGCGCTGGGACGAAGCCATGGGCTGCTGGCTCTCCTTGTCAGCATCCTCGCGCTCGTCACTGCCACTTCCGAGCCGGGACAATACCTTCCCAGCTGCTACGGCGAGCAAGGCAAAGGCCAAGAACAAGGCGAAGGCCAGGGCAAAGGCGACTTCCGCGAGTTTCCCGACCCGGGATTTCTCGCCGCCGACCCGCACACGCCAAGCTCCACAAGAGTTCGATCTCCAGAGCGTCATGAGCCAAGAACTTCCGGACGACCAGAGCGAAGTATTCGACTGGAACCAGCCCAGCGACTAGGGCTGAAGAAAGGTCAACGGAAGCAGCTCGCTGCACAGGCTCGACGGGCCCATCAGGTCCTCAGCCTGGAGTACGCCATTCTTGGAAGCGAGTTGGCGAAAGCAGCTGACGCCCGGCGGAGAGTAACACATAGTGCCGACTTCCTACAAATGACGCCATGTGAAAGGGGTGAGAACCTCACTTCTGCAGGACTACGCTCCCCACAAGAGCAATGGGACATCGCGACACATCGTGGTCGCAAGCAGTGGGTCGAGTCCTTGATGTATCACAAACCACTTGTGATCGCGGTCAGACTGGCCGACTCCCCCTCACATGGAACACCGGAAGTGATCAACTCGGTCCTCCGAACTGTTGCGCATCAACAGCGATGCAGCCGATACTGGGTCATCATTGCTCCCAGGACACACCCGGTGTGGAGACACCCAGGCATAAGCCGTTTGGTGACGGAAGGACAACACTTCATCACACGAGCCTCGGAGACCATCGTGTCGAATCACGAGTGGCTCACTCAGGCGTCACCAGGTAGTCCCACCGGACTGTCAGAACGGGTACGGAGGATTGCCCGTGAAATGGATCCAACCCGATTCCATACGGAAGCCCCAGAAAGCAGGCGTACTCCTGCCTGTGGGGAGATGGACAGGGTCTCCACGCGGCCCGTCAATCACGAAACATACTACCTTGATTACGTCCAAGACCCCAAGACATGGCAAGAGGTCATGAAAATGGTGGACGACGTCTTCAGGGGAAGTTCCCAGCAGCAGATCACTCTGAGCCCGGGACACGACATCCGGAAACAGGTGGAACTGCTCATCCCATGGCGGGTGGAAAGGATCCAAATCGCCAAAACACCAAGGGCGCGGCGAATGCCAACTGATATCCCATATACCCACAGAGCCAACATCCTACTATACAACGACGATGACCTGGCCTTCGAGTCAGAAGACGTCGGGAACGTAGCGTTCCCACGGCAGCGTTTCTCTAAAGGAGTTCGATACGCTATCTGTGTGTATGGGTACGCGCCGCAAGACCCAGATGAGGAACAGCCAGTGTACGATGGTCCGCCTGACGGCCACTCACTGGACGACCCCGAGATTCCTCCTGAGGAGGTCCGCGGGTCCGGTATCACCATGCCAAACTGTAAAGCCCCCCGCGACGTTAAACGCGCGGTAGCGAGGCTTCACGTCAATTTAGGGCATCCGTCCTCGGCCGATTTGATCCGAATGATCTCCCAGCAAGGAACGGTGAATCCCGAGACGATAGCAGCAGCTAAGGCCCTGAACTGCACATCCTGCCTACGGATGAAGAATAACGCGCCACCGAGACCGTCCCGCGTGGTGACAAAGTTCATGGGTCAACTGGGAGACAATATCCAAATGGACATCTTCTATGCCAGAACGGTGGATGGACAAAACCACCCCATGCTCGGCATCGTGGACGAGGCAACAAACCTACAGCAGGTAGCCCGTCTGCCTAACCGAGAGCCGGCATCCGTTTTGAAGGCCTTCAGGGAGGTCTGGGTCCGACCATACGGTATGCCACACAGGATCACAATGGATCAAGACGGCGCGTTCATGGGAGAGTTCTGGACGTACGTGGTCGACCAGGCCACGGAAGCGGACTACGTCCCTCCCGATGCCCACCATCGGCTGGGTAAAGCGGAACGCTGCAATGCCGTCTATCGCGAGATCTTGAATCGAGTCGTGGATGGTATGGCAATTGCCACCACCGACGACATGGAACAAGCGATCGACGCAACAACACATGCTATCAACAGCATGCCCCGGACAAGAGGATTGTCAGCGTATGCCATTGTGTTCGGACGGGTCCCTCGGGTTCCCGGAGAACTCCTGACAGACGAAGCTGCTCTCGCAGCGGATGTTCCCACAGAAGAACACAACAGGCACGCCATCCTCTTCAGGGCAGAAGCCCAGAAGGCCGCAGCGCAGGTCAATGTGGATCAGCACGTCCGCAGGGCATTGCTCCGGAAAACGGCTCACATGAGGGTTCAGGACATAACCCCCGGAGCAAAATGCGCTGTCTGGCGGTCTCAACTGCGAGGAAAAGGCCCCAAGAAGAAAGGCGGCTACGTCATTGGTAGACTCGTGACCTTTGACGGTCGCTGCGCCTGGGTTCAGCTGGGGACACAAACGGTCAAGGTAGATCGAAACCAGCTGCGACCGGCGTATGGGTTCGAATCTTGGGCCCCCGACGCAGAAGACATACAAGCGCTAAAAGACGCCGAGAGAAATCTGCTGGACGATAACGTCCAAAGCCTGGAAGGACCACCCCCTCCGGACGACGAACCAGTCGAACCCACAGTCGTCATCCCTCCAACGCCGTCAATGCTGGCACTTCCAGCCCCCCCTACGCCCGCTATGCCATCAACCCCGGCAGCGCCGGCGCTTCATCAGCAGCCATCATCGCCAAGATCCCGCAGGGGTAAGAGGCATACCGAGACGGACGCGCCAGCAAGGGCCTCCGATCAAAAGCGGACGGTCACCCAAGAGGGATGGGACGACGGTCAAATATCAAATTTGATCTGTCACCACGATGATATCGGCCTGACTGACGAAGTCGAGCTTCAAGACTTCGGTTGGGACGGAACCGACTGGGAACCTGGCCACCCGGAGCGGCTGGTGAATCTCGCTGAGGTCTTTGCCTCCGAGCACTCGGCTCCCGAACTTCCGTGTGATCAAGAGGATGCCATCGAGGACTCCCACACTTCGTGGCAGGTCTGCTACGTCGGTGACCAAAAGGCCTTGGTCAATACCGAGAAGCTGACTCGGAAGGAGCTGAAAGCGCTCAACAGGGAAGTTCCATGGCGGGAAATAGTCCACCAAGGAGGAAGCGTACTCCGAAAATATGTGGAGTCAGCTCGAAAGGAACACGAGCAATGGCAAGCATGGTCCTCGGTCAGACCTCTCAGCGACCAGGAAGCCAATGCCGTGTTATCCGATCCCGTCCTCAGGACGCGCGTCCTAAAGAGCAGAGCCTGCTATCGGGACAAAGCGCAGGGACAGGGAGAGCTGAGAGCCAAGTGCCGCGTGGTGGTGTTAGGCCACAGAGATCCCGACCTGACCACCATCTCACGCGATGCGCCAACTCCCAGCAGACTGACCGAGCACCTTCTCCTGGTCATCTACATCAGCGGTAGGAACCGCGCGTTTCTTGGCGACAAAAGAGTGTGGCGATTATGGTGTGCAGACGCCACTACCGCATTCCTGCAAGGGACACAGCAGGACGGAGAGAGACCCAACAGGCTCTTCATGCAGAGTCCGCGGGATCCCATTCTGCTACAGGCAGGTGCCTTCCCAGCCACAATGTACGAGATACACGGAAACGTGTACGGGTTGGCAAACGCCCCCCGATTGTGGAGTCTGGAAGTAGGCAAGCGCCTCCTGTCCGCGGGATTCAGGCCACACGCCTTAGATCGCATGTGCTTCTTGCACTACGACAAAGAAGGTCGTCTCGACTGTATCAGTTTGGTGTACGTCGATGACTTCCTCGTCACCTACGCGGACAATTTTGATCTGACCATCATTACCGCACTGTTCAAATGGGGCAGCACATCAAACGACACGGATGTGATCACCTTTAAGGGAAAGCAGCTCCGAACAACCAAGCGGGATGGTAAGTTCGTCCTCCTGGTTACCCAGACCGAATACATCCGGTCACTGGCGCCAGGGAAGGTCACACGACAGAGAGCACGGGGTGACGAACAACTAACTGAGGCAGAGCTGCAGGAATTTCGCAGTTGCTGCGGAGCCCTACAATGGGTCGTGGGACAAACACGTCCAGACGGGTGCGCCACTGTCAGCCTGGCGAACCACGGAAACGAAAGCACCCTCAGCGACCTAAAGACATTGTACGGTCTCATGGAACACTTCCAAATGACAAGCCACGACGGCTTGGTCTTTAAGGGCATCCCAATCACCAAGGAGACAGTCTTGGTGACGTACGGGGACTGCTCGTGGGCAAATGCCCAGGACTACAAGTCCCAAGAAGGACTCCTGGTGTGTCTGACGACGCCCGGAGCACTCCAAGGCCCGACAGATGCGGTCATGATCGACTGGAAGTCGACACGGACGCCGCGGGTCGTGAGAAGCACGATGGCTGGTGAAGCTTACGCCGCCGACGATGCTATCGATCGTGGAGTCTACGTCAACCAGTGCCTTTGTGAGTTGATTTTCGGTGCAAACGCGTCACCACTATCCAACCCACAATACCTCAGGCACCTCCACGCCACGGACTGCAAGTCCCTGTTCGACGCAATCATCGCGTCTAACTTCCAGACAGAAGAGAAGAGAGTTGGACTCACGGTTCGGTCTATCCAAGAGACCATCGGACCAAACGACATGCGATGGGTTCCGACCGGCGCCATGCATGCGGACGGTCTTACCAAAATAGCAGATTGGCTACGAGCCCAGTTCCTGGACTGGATCAGGAACCCAACGGTCCAACTCCGATCAGAGGTGTAAGCGTCCTCGATCCGATCTGAAGGTGCGCTGCAGCCTCGATCTGTTTCACAACTAATCAGCCCCTGGCACGGCTTTTGGACCAACAAAAAGTTGGGAGTGTCAGTTTGCAACGGTTTGCAAGGTTTCACTAGGACAATACGTCCGATACCCCTTTTGGCCCAAAACCGGGCACAGGGCCCTTGAGTCTTAGCGCGCAGCGCCGAAAAGCCGCACTACGGTGCACAACCAACAATACAATGTTGCACTGCGTTCGTTCTTTTCATGTCACTTTCAGCTTTTCAACTTGACCGTGCGCTTGGCATGTTCCAAAGGGCAGTCTGTCTCCATTTTAAGACAATGTTGAATGCACGACCCAAAGCACAAGGCCCACCAACATCACTCTTGGCTGCATGGTGGAGGTCTCCTGGGATGATGGTCATATGCATCTAACGTTCAGCTTGTTAGACAATGAGTTACAGTTGTTACAACATTGCCTTTTGCGTTGGATCAATGTAAACCGCCAGTTCGCTCTTTGCTACCTTGTCTGTGTCTGTCTGTGTCTAGTTAGTTGGCTTTCGTCCAACTCGCTTTTGTTCTCTTGAAACACACCGCAGGCCGTTGCCAGCAACGGAGATGTGGATGGTGCCCACGAGCTCATCCAGCGGCTGTTGGAAGACAAGGAGACCAAGTCCCAGGCGGAGACACGACACGACGGACACGACGGACACGGCACCGGACAGATGCGTTTGAACGCACGGCCAAGACGGCCATGACGTAGTCAAGACCGGATGGCAAGCTTGTCTCACAAAGCAGTTCTCAGACATGCAAAAGGGGGATGCAGAACACAATAGAGCACAAGACAGAGAGGTCAACCAGGTCATGGCTCCAGATCCTGGACTCCAGCAGTTCCATGCATACAGATGCTAGTACTAGGAAGCAGACAGATTAAACAGTTTCACAATGTTTCACAGATTTTCACAGTTTTTTTTGTGGCCAATGAAGTCAAGGTGAATGCGGTGATCTACGGCTCCATTCTGAAAGGTTTCAGTCGCAAGAAGCATATGGATCGAGTGTGGGAAGCGTTTGACGAGATGAAAACTCATGGTTCCTAAGACGCACTTTGTCTCACCAATTTCCAGAAATTGCTGAAATTACAGTAGTTGAAATGCAAAATTGCCAGACGTTTCAAACATTTTCAAACGAACTCTTGAAAATTGCCAAACGCACTCTGCTCAAATTTACAAACGCAGCGCTGCAGAGCTGAAGTCTTCTGAGCTGAGAGCGCTGGAGAGAGCGAGAGCTGAAGAGCCGAGGAATCACCCCAACTCTGATGACGTTCAACGCGATCATGGATGGCTGTGTGCGAAATGAAGAGATGAGCAAAGCTGCCCGGATAAAGCTGCAGAGCTGTTGGAGCAAGCCAAGGTATATAGCCAGATAAAATGCCTTCGTCGGTGCTGTAAATGCTCAGATTTACAGTATATCATTATATAATATCATTATATTATTATCATTATATATCATTATAAATTCATTGTATATCATATGATTGCAAAATGATGTGATGATGTGAAACGCTTGATTGTTGACAGTCTGACCACAACCGCGCTTAGACTGCTCAGCAACCCAGCTCCAGCTGCGTAGCTCCTTTTGATCCTTTTGCCTTGTTCACAACCTTTCGGTTCCTCGGTGCCTTCCTGTTGTATCCAGGTCGCTGACCTCGTCCAGGAGATGTCAGTCTACAATCTTGTGCCCAATCTGATCACGTACAGCACCATGATCAAGGTTGGGTCCATTCTTTACTCGTCCGAGAATCAGAAAGTGTCTACCAAAATTTCTAAAAGATAGTGATAGAGAATGAGAAAGTAAGAAATGCCGCTGTGAAAGCAGACAGTTGCTAGTACGGTGCCATTCTTTTTTTCCTGTGCATCTTTGAAGTTTGAGCGACGGGCAGGGCTTTTGTGCAACGGGCGACATGCAGTCAGCTTTTGCAATTTTCGAGCAGCTTCAAAAGGGACGCGAAAGTCCAGATGAGGTTGTGTGCCTTGGATGAAGGTCTACAAGACGTGCAACGATGTGCAGTTAACTTGTCTCAAATAGATGTAAACGCAAAAGTGCAGCAGTGCCTGCCTTCACTTCTTTGCGCCGGATGCATCGGAAATTCAGCAGTTGAGAAGACTGGTAGGCTATTCTATTGGGAATCGCAGGGAACGTCAAAGTCTCAACACGATTAAAAAAGGATTCCGGTGTTCCAGAAAGGTACAACACTCTTCTGGATGGATGCTTGAAGGCAGGCATGGCAGATGAAGGAGAGGCTTCTAGAGACCTGCTGATGTTGCCAAGAGAATACTCAAATCGTTTGAGTGTCTTATAGTGATGACCAACACGCTTTTTGATCAAACTCTCGAAATGATTGATGTCATCCGAATTCTCAGAAGATGTGAGCAATTCTCATATCTTCTCACGACTGAGCCAGTCACTTTCAGCGTGGGCTGAGAGAACACTATATACTTGGTGACCAGCATTGCGATTTAAACGATGCACTGCTGTGTGACAACTTTGATATACCATGACCGGATACAAGATTAATATACATTATTTGTTTTAGTAATAATACAAGTATAGTCATGGTTGCATACCAGTATTACATTCATATTATATATATATACACAAATATATTCTTAGATATATAACATGACATAGTTCTCATGGAACTCTCATGGAACTCTCATGGAGCTCCCATGGAGGAGAGCAGCTGTTGGAGGCTATGATGGCACAGGGACTGGCCCCGAGCATCTACACTTTGAGCGTCGTGGTGAAGTGCCTTGGAGCCTTTGGACCTCGGGAACTCCTCGGGATTCTCCAACATTCTCTGACATTCTCCGTTGTTCTTGGGTTGTTCTTGGGCGGGAAGTCCAAGTAGCGTGCAAGACCTTTCCTTTCTGCACACGTTCGAACTGGCTAGACCAGTAAGCTGGCTTCCCAACTCGCGAGTCATGAACTAAAGATCTTCCGTTCCGAAGCAATGAAGGATGACCATGATGACCCATATGACCCAGGTAAGCTGATTTCAATTCTTGTTTTGCTTGCTTGTGCCCTTTGTTCTGCCATAGACATCGTCAAAACCAGCGTGTTTGCAAGGCTGCTGGCAAATGCCAAACGTTTGGACAAGGCTTTCAAGAAACTCAGTTGCACTTGATGAAGTCCAGGTGTGAGAACCGCGAGGGGAAGAGCGCCTGTGAGCAGAGACCGAGAATCTTTCTGTGGAAAGAGCGGACAGCGATTATAAATTTTGATAAAAACAATGTAAAACTGCAAGGAGTCTGCAAGGATACGTTTCATGGCTACAACATTCCACTGTAAACCACACTGCAAGACATGCTGCATCTGTGTTGCCTCTTGCCCCGTGACTCACGGTGAGGTTGGCGGAGGGTGCCTCCTCGCGGTTCCGTTTCCGTCTTGGGGCACAACTGCAAACGGCACTGCTCCAGGCTGTCACGCCCGTGAAAGCGGCCCAAGAGAAAACATGTTCTTGAAAATTCACACCGGTGACCTTCCAGCAGAACTTCGTAACTTCAGCTCAATCTACACTCTATTCAGGGTGTCGACATGTATCAAGAGATATGCCCAGGGCCAGGAATGTCAGATGCTCATCAAGACCAAATCACTTCCACGTGTAATGTGTGTTATGTCTTTTTGTCATCGCCTCCGTTGCAAATTCTTTGTTTTGGGCGGCCTGGGGTAGGCCTGCATCTCGTGCCGGGCTTTCGATCGAGGGGCCCGCTTCTACTTGAAAACACACAAGGAGCGTTGGTAAGTGGCTTAAGTGGCTTTAGTGGTTTTTCTCTGGTATGTTATATTGTGTAATTGCATGAGATCAAGTTATGTCACATGTCAAACACAAGCGAGCCAAAATGAGATCTAATGTGGCCCACCCAAGCGAGGGCTGATCGTTTGAATTCAGTGTTCCAACGCCAATTAAGCAGTGCCGCAGGATCGCCTGTCTGCCGACAAGAAGCGGCTTAGTCGAATGGACTGATACCGTAGAACTGACAAAAACCACGTACAAAAAGCAGGACGAGGGAAAATGAGACAGTGACAGGAGCAAGGAACACCAATGATTTTGATAGAGTTCTCTTCGGTGTAAAATGAATTTGTAGACATCGGACATCATCGGACATCATCGGACATCATCGGACATCATCGGACCGTTGATTCTTGCAGATCTCGGCACCTGGGAGAGGGGAGCCTGGGGAGCTTCAGGATTTGTCAAACCATCATCCGCGGCCTCTTGAGCACTGGCAAGGTGGAATGGTCTTCAGTTGGAGTTGGAGACAGTTGGAGTTATTTTTGGTCGCTTTTTTTCCCGAGCTTGTCCTGGTGAAACAAGAGTCAGAAGAGTCACACGAATGAATCAGAATAAACAAAAACATAGCGTTGGCGTATCGGCCGATTTTTTCGGTTACGGACCCCAATCCCCAACACGCTGATAACGTCAAGAGATCGTCGCGTCAGGCAGAATTAGCAGCAGATCTTCTGAAATCTTTGCTGGGTCTCAATAGCACCTCCGAGGAGCTGGGCTAGATCGGGACCATCGCGTGTTCTTTATCGTTAAATTAGTTAATTGTTGCTATTTGTTGATGGTTGATGGTTGCTGTTTGATGGTGAAGATGTACAGGTGGAGGAATTCTGAACTTATTCTTGCTATCAAGCTGCTCTTAGCAAGTGCAGATATGCGCAAATTATAGATTGATGCTATGCCAGCTATGCGATACCGCATAGGAAACCAGGACGCTGTGATCAAAAAGGCTGCTCACTTCTTGCGTGAGGAAGTGATTCGACACCGCGCGACGCAAGAAATCGACGAGGCAAAGCCTTGATTTAAAGTGCAGAAATGACTTGCAATCACAGCAATGATCCATGGGATCTGAGCAGCTGAACCTTCCAACACCGTTGCTCAAGTGCCTCAACTCAGAGAGACTCAAATGCACATGGAAAATCATTGAAGATATTGAAGTGCACGTCGGGCACGTTGCTGATCAGGTCTTGGTTGCTGAAGTCATCAGCGCCTTGCTTGAGCAAGGCAACAACTACAGACAGGCTGAGCAGATCTATGAGAGCTTGAAGGCCTGGGTTGGTGATCAGTGCTGCTTGGATCCATTAGGCTTTGAAGTGGAGGATGTTGAAGAGAACAATGATTCCAGGCTTGAAGGCTATGATTCGTATGGTTTTTAGGTGGAACTTGTTCCCAGCTGATTTGCACAGGCCTTGAAGCCTCGCTTCGTGTTGGACGCAGAGCTTCTGAAAAAGATCCGCCAGAGCCTCACATTCGTCATATTCTTGATTTTTGATTCCTTGAAATTTAGCAATCGGTGTACTCTTGCACGATGTGAAGGAAACCCAGTTTTTGAGTCAAACGTCTCAAGCTGTCTGAGGTGGAAAGGACTACTACCAATGATGTCAGAATGCCAAGCGTCTTTGCCCCTTGGCCTTGCGAGTTCAGTAAGGGAAGGAACCTTGGTGAAGATGCGGATAAAGCGTGACACATCGTGAAGCAGTATGTCACTATGCTGTCTATATTGTCTATACTCCACGAGCCAAACTTAGAATGCGATGAATGTGGGTCTGGAAACTGCCTCTGCACCGTTAAAGCCCAAACTCATGCTTTGAGCACCTTCCAGTTTGCGAATATTCTTCCCCACGCTATGTGCGATCGGTTTGTCACTTCGACCGCGTCAAAAATTCGGGCCATCGACGTTTGTTTTTGGAATCTCCCAATTATAGGATGATTTCAACACTACAGTAGATGGACAGTATAGGTATCGGAACAGTCTCATGGGATGGGAGGTTGCATGTACCTGCGAAAAGGCAATGTTTTGCGCAGTTTGGAATAAGATCAGCAGCATGGAGGCAGATGTGTCCACACTAGAGTTTGGATACCAAAAGACGCGAAAACAACAGAGGGTGAGACGGTAGATGGACAAAAGGTTCAAAATCTGCAACACCCACTATGTTGAACCCCCGCACCCCCAAATCTCAATGTTTCAGAGCGCATGTTAGCAAAAGAGTTGTCGGGGGTTTGATTTCTTTTTTCCATTGGGGCTAATGCACCTCAGGCTACATTAACATTGACCTTTGGGGGCGAATGAGGGGGTATTGGATAGAAAGGGCTTGAATATTTTCGTCCATCTACAGTAGGAAGGTGCTCCTTCTATGGTGTTGACACCGGTACCACCACTTGGAAAGCCTACACTCCATCCTGTTTGATTTTTCCACAGCTGTACTGGGAAAAAGGGCACGCTGGTAGTGCTGCAGCGATCGGACCCTTTGATTGACAGATCTATAGCATTCTATAGCCACATCCAAACGTGCACAGGCGAACATGGATAACAAAAACAGGATTCCCGGTCCCCATCCGAAGCCTTCGTCACTATGATGTACTAGATGCCATTGACTTCTTCATAGTCTTGACGTTTCTTTATTGTTATGTTCACAGGGAGTTGTCACTGTTTGTATCGAGCCAATTCCTTCGTAGCTTTTGGCTGCTCCCATGGTGTTCCCCCTTCAACTGCTAGATGTCAGTCCAAGTCAACTGAGTCCGCTGAGGCCGAAGGAACTAGTGCCGAGATACCGAGATATCAATTCAGTTTCCATCGTCCAGCACTGCTGACAATTTTCAGATGCTGAGACAAAGAACGTCGAAGGGCACAGAACGGCAGAACAGCATAGAACCTACGAGTCATGGAAAAATCAATTCAACCAATTTAGTATAATTTAGTGACAAACCGTGACAAACCTATTGAAAGTTGAGCGAGGCTGTGCCAAAAATCGCGATCGACCTCAGGCAGCATTCAAAAAATGCACGCAAGGTGAGCATCGCTTCGAGGTATCTGGGCTCTAAGCACCCTGCACTGTCGTGCTTCATGGAAAAGAGCGCGTGACGAAGCCAGACGAAGCTGAATGTGCAGTTTGTGCGTAGAAAACCTGTTAGACATGTTAGACATGTCGGTCCAATGTCAGTGGTCCTTTTGCGGGGGCTTTATACCAGCCCGAACCTGAAGTACCTCCAACCTTCCTGTTGAACCATTTGTCGCTGTTGGCCCAATTCTTCCGACGTTTCAGTCATCCTTGGAACTTGTCACAGGCCAACGCTTCGAGCACGGCCAAAGCGTAACTTCCTCGAGCTTTGATATGTGAACTACTTGTGAATTTTTGACTTCGACACTGATCAATAGAGCATCAAAAGGAACAAAATTCAAAAGTACTAGTAGCATATAGTAGCATGAGATAGCATGAGATAGTATGAGCGCAGGCCTACAACCAATTGCATCCTGCAAGAAGTTTGGTGTGACCAGAAATTCTAAGGCGCCGTGCCAGGGAGGACGCACTGGCAGATGCACAAGGCGATTTGGCATCCGATGAAGATTCAGAGGCGCTGACACCGCGTCATATCGAGTGTGGTAGTCAGAGAGCCGTCAGAGAAAGGCGATAAAAGTTGAGAAGTGCCATCATTGACTCATTATACGAGGCATATTGACTCAGATTAACATATTGACACATATCTGTTCGTTTGAACTCACATTAACTCATATCGACTGATCCTTCAAGTGTGGTTCCCTGGAATTTTTGTCTCAAACAATCTCAAACCATCTCAAACCTAAGAAGTGGAACAGCAGGCTCCGGTTGCTGCAGAGGAGGACCGGACAAAGAAGGAATCAGAGTGGGATCAGAGTGATATCAGTGATATCAGATATTTTTTTAAAATCATTGCGTTGCAGTATTGCAAGAGTTTTTATTGAAATCCGATGGACATTGCCGCTCTGTGCAAGGAGGAGGAGGACTTCTTTGAGACTCCAGATGAGAAACGAGTGAGACTCGCCAAGGCCAGCTTGTGGTGGATGGATGCCAATGTTTTAATCTTATTTTTCTTATCTTGACTGTGCGATACTAAGTGTACTTGTGGGTTACATGCACATTGTTGCAAAAAATGCAGTATATTAGACACACATATACAAAAGACTATGAAAAACTAATATATACTAGATTCGTTACTAGGTGTAATACGCAAAGATACATTGTACAAGTGGATGTAGCCAGTGCAGATTCTCCCCCAGCCTTGAGGAGACAGTCTTTCAGCCAATGCCTGAGACATGTGCATTTGCCGTTCCGGCTTTGTAGCAGGAGTATCTCACCAACATGGGGGACACTCGAACTCCTGAGCAGATTCAGGACAGTTTGAAGCTTCAAAGAGACTCAGAACGTCTCAATGTTGAGCATTAATTTGACTTATGACTTATTGTTCTCTCAATGGGCCAAAGAAAGTCGAGCGGAGACGGTGAGACTATGTGAGTGGAAGTGAGTGGAAGTGAGTAGAAGAGGCAACTGCGATGGAAACTGACGCCGGAATGCATCAAAGGAATAAATAGGATTGAGGATAATGACAAGAAGCAGTGAACATATAGCAATCACATGTACTTACCACAAAGACGAGCATTTGTAACGGCTAAGCCGGCAAAGGCCGGCAAAGGGTTTGTTTCGTTTGTGGGTGCAAAGCAGGTCTGGTTTTCTGTCAGGATCAGCTCACCAAGCAAAAGAAGACCAAATTTAGCGTACTGAGACCAAGCTGGACAGGACGCCCTCGACTTTCGAACTTCGACCCTTGGTATTCCTTGGTATTTCGTGTTTCAGAGTGTTTCAGAGTGTTTCGAGGTCTCGAACCTAACCTTGGGAGAACCGCGCTTTCTCAAAGGGTAGAGCTGGCAATGTTTCCCCGAGTGCCTTCCTGACATATTGTGACAATTTTTGTGACACCTGTTGGGTTCGGTCTTTTTTGCCTTGCAATGTGCCAGGCATAAGATGGCAGCAACTTGTGTTTGTCTCAATTCCGACGAAGGCCGTCAGAGTTAAGAGGGCTGAAGAGAAGGCTTAGTAGAGAAAGATAATAATTTTGCAGCAAACAACAAATGAATAAAAATAATATAAAGTGGATCGATGCAAATTGCTTTGTGTTGCAGAGTAGAATGATTGACTCTGGCATTCAAGCATTTGGTATTTCCCCGCAAAAAAGGCAGTCATGGCTCTGCAATGTTCCGCAGAGAGGTACAATGTACACCGGCGGCAAAGACTGTGCGCTCATTCGCTGGGATGTTGAGACTGGCAAGAAGGCTCTACCTTGCTCTGCAGATCTACCATATACATTCGACATCCATATCCTCTATCATGCTTTCCTTCGTCACTTCTCAGGTCTCATAAGTGAAACGGTGTCACGAGTTATACACGTCCAGTGGATGGATGTCAGGACGTCTTTCCAGGTGGCCGGAACCGCTTCGAATGTGGTGGGCACTTCGAGAAGGCGCAGATCAACACTTGTCAAAACGGTTTTTGCATGGCTGTTTTTGTTTTTGTTTTACATTGGTTTACATATTCATCATTATTTGTCTGTATTCTTTATATTTCTTCATTCTCATCTTTATATTTCGTTGTTGATTAGTAGTCGCTTGTGTCGCTGAGCCACTTGCCCAGGTCTTGAGCCTTTGCCTGCTGGAGCAGCGGGGATTGCTTGTCTCCGCTGGCGTGGACCGAGTCGCACGATCCTTGGCAGACGCGGAGTTTGGCTCTTGGACTTATTGGGGTATTCATTCTGAAATTCTATTCGTTCTGCATGGTTTCTGCATAATTTTGCCATGTCCTTTAGAGTCTTTACAGCTTTACATCTTGGCAGCTTTGAAAAGCAGCTAGGAGCACAGTTGGCCTATTGGCCTGTCGTAGACCCCATTCCCTCTATCCCCACTGCAAGGTGCGTCTCTGGGACCCTCGCTCGCCTGCAAAGAGCAGCCTGGCCCTTGAGTTTGACGGTCCGAATAGAAAATGCAGATCTCCTTGATCGTATCCCTTAGAGATCTTTTCTGCCTGAGTTGATAGTGAATACAGTTGATACTGCATTCTTTCTCAACTTCTTTACTTTCAAGCTTTGAAAGCATGAGATACACGTTGACACAACATCCCACAGAGGATAGGAACGATCCAACAGAAATTGTGGTCAACCTATGTCAACCTACTCGGGAGGTTTTCCCACTCAAAGCTTAGATTTGAGTGCAAATTGATTCCCTAGGCATTGGGTTGAAGCTGATTTTTTTCCATTTGACAAGTTTGACATGCCAAAGTCGACATGAGTTTCTATCACGTTGGAGTACGACCAGATCAAGCAGCGCGCGGAATGATCTCAAAGCATCTCAAAGCATTGTGCTTTGCACTGGCCGAGCAGCTAATCATCAGCTAATCATATGCCGAACAATGCCGAGCAGCTTTCGGGATGCCTTCTCTGCCGTCAAAGTCGCTGCGAAAGATGCGGCGGAAGCCCTGCAGAAGGAGCGCATTTCTCTCCTCCATTATGGTTCACACATGTTCACACAATCCACAAGGATATAACTTTTATATACTTTGATCTTTTATGATTTATATCACTTCATGTTCAGCACTTTGACATAAGCTTAATACTTCAGCATTTCATTTCATCACTTGATGCCATGCTGGCAACAGCTGGGACGCAGCCAGTTTCAAATGGTTCCTATCTGAGCTGAGCTGGATGCCCACAAATTGCCGAAAAGTCAACAAATTGCCGAAAACGTGGAACATGCAAAATACTGATTTACGTAACTTACGTAGGATAATTACAGAAGAACATGTGATGTACATGTTTGATCATGTTTGTATGATTTCAGCTTGATTTGAGTCCTCTGCCGTGGTTGCTTCCTTTTGTGCGGTCTCAAAATCACCCCATTGTCCTTGCCCCTGTGAAGTTTTGCCTTTGTGCGAAAATTTTGCACACGCGAACGAGCCCGAGTTGCTCAATGATACTCAATGTAGTAGTCAATATTAATATGTATTTCATCAATTTTGTCGTTGTATTTCAAGGTATTTCAAGGTATTTCAAGGTATTTCAAGGTATTTCAAGGGTGTTTCAAGGTGTTTCAAGGTGTTTCAATGTATGAAAGCTAGAGCAGTTCCTGGCAGACAAGCAAGTTTGGATAAAGACTTGATCTGGAAACTCTCCGTTTTCGTTCGCCTTTGTTCGACATCTTTTCAATTCTTTTCATCTTTTTCTTTTTTATGTATCCACAAAAGGAGGCTTAGCGGTGAGGTCGGTCTAGCATACTTTCTATTCAGCCAGGAGTGGCAGTTTACTTTTGAAGACTACAGCTGTCGGTTGTCTTTGGTGCGGCCGAACCTCATTGCCACGGACTTCCCAAGCCGACCGCGGCAGCATTGGCTAGGCTCTTAGTTTACAAAAGGACTTCGCCATGTGTGGTGGCAGTTGATCCTCATGAGTCATATGAGTCATATGAGTCATATGAGCATCTGTTCAGCATTTGCTCAGCATCTGTTCAGGCTTTCTGCTGACTTTGTCTTTTTTCACTTTTGATGGCAAGGCTGGCGGCACGTTTGAACCGTGACCATCCTGGCAGCTACCTGGTCATCAACCTTTCAGGCTGCGTCTATGACACCTTTGAGTTGCAAGGCCAGACTCGAAACTGTTACGGATCTGCTGATCTGTCCTTTGGATTCCTTTCGCACTGCTGTTTCCAGTTGTTGTGCGCTCAAACTACCTTGTAGCCTAATGCAACCTATGAAATCCTTGTAATGAGATGTAACCAGTATAGTTATTAAAAGCAGTTGAGATGGAACAGCAAAACCGCAAAACCCAGGCCCTGTGATGGATATCATGATGTCTGGCTGTGTGCTTCCACTGGAGGTGCTGCTGATGCCTTAGAATCCGTGAGTCTAGAGTTGACTTCATTCGGAATGCGATGGAGTTGCGCTAAGTTGCTAAGCTCAGGTTGCGCCTTGTTGTTTCAGTACACCACTGGTTGGCACGGCAAGCCCGCAACGTGGTTGTGGTGCATGGAGCAGATGTTTGGGACTCAGTCCACAGCCTGGAACCAGTGAAAAACATCAGGGCAGAGGCATCAGGACCTTGAGGAAAGTGGGCGGTATATGGCTGAATGGATCTGAATGGTAGTTCGCATTGTGCTCAATGGTGACCACATGTGGTTTGCACTGCACCCCCTTACACACACCCTCGCACATAGACGTGCCTTTTGTGTTCAGTCTCTTGACTGGCAGTGCTGTCAATGTTTGTGTTTATATAATACTTCTTTAATCTTTCTGAAGTTGCTGACAGTGAGTGTTTTCTCCAATCCCCTGTCAACCATAATCCTACAGTATATACTGTATATAGTATGTCCTCGTGATCCATTGGAGGTTTAAACATGTTTAAACGTTTAAACAGTATGAGATGAACAAAACTCAGGATCCAGCTGGCACCGCAGCGAGCTACGGCCCAGGCTGGGGTACAAATTCCGCTGCAGAGTGCCGAAGCCATGATCAATGCATGATCAATGCATGATCAAAGCATCGAATGAATAGAATGAATCGAATGAATGATCACATAGAGAGAAGAGGACATCTAGCTGCAAGATCTGGTTCGTTTTCTTCTCAGAGCAAGATCAGGGGCTCTAATCACTCCTTGAATGACTCCTCGAAGGACTCTTTCTGTGAACTCCCCGAAGGTTCTTTTCCGGTGGTCCTCTTCTTTGCATGCTATTTGAGCTGGGTCGGCAAAGCAGACCATCCCAAAGAAGCAATGTTGGAGGTGAGCAGGCAGGGCTTGGCTGACTGGCGACCCATTGAACAGCTCAATGAGATTCAATATATTCAATGAGGCTCATTGGATTTGTCGAGTACAAATGTGACAGGCGAATGGGCATCTCCAAGACCATTTGGCCATCACAACTCAGATATCTCAGTGTCTTGGAGAGGAATAGTCTGAAGGCAGTGAAGGAGGGCACGGGCACAGTATGAAGTCCCTGCAGGGTCAGGCCCTGCAAGCAGCAAACCGATCTGAGCTGGTAGAGCAGGGTCAATGTCAGTCCAGCACTGTCCAGCACTGTCCAACACATCAATTCAACAAATGAAAGCTTAGCCGCTTAGCCGCTTAGCTGCTTAGCTATCCCCAAAGACATAAAACTAACGCGCTGCACCTTTCGGACTTTAGCAGCTTTGAGTGCGATTTGTGCTATTTTGTGCTCCTCCACAATGTCTTCCTCCAGAATCCTACAAATATGCTGTGTGTTGCTATGTGTTGTGTCTGTCACAGGTTATTTTGAGCTACTGCAACGTGGAAATTTGGACCTGTGGTCTCATCCAGCGCGCCTGGCTCGGGTGGACCCTTGGATTCACCATTTTCACCATTTGCAAAGGGTCTCTTTTTTAACAGTTGAAAATAGTTGAAACATGTTGAAACATGTTGAAACATGTTGAGAGTTCAGAGGTATTGAGACAGTGGCTTCTTTTGATCTGTTTTGACACAAGGTTCATTTCTGCCACAGTGAAAATAAACTTGAGCAAGGTCTTGGTTCACATGGGCTCGCAGAAGCGGGATCGTGCTTTGGAAGTGTGGAAGCAAGAGCACTTACTCTTCCGCACAAACGTCAGTACCGGACCAAGCACATAGACTTCCACAATCTTCCACATCTAGCTGCACTTGTGGGTGTATATGTATATATAAAAATTGTAGTATCATATAATATATAGTTATATATATATATATGCCCCGCACTTTCCTAAAGCAGTGCATGCCGTTCGCCTCGGACAAAGTCGGACAACGCCAGTTTGAACTTCACCACTGCCCTTTGTGCCTTCGTGTCCCAGGCGAAGATGATGACGTGTGCCACACTTCAGCCTTTCGAATCACAAGTTCCGCAGAGGGAGACCTCTCCCTCCGTTTGGTCACGCGTCAAGCGGAGGTTCATCTCACACATGTTGTAGAAATGTGTAGAAATGCTGATGCCTCATGAAGTGCAAAGTCAATGAATGACTCAGGATGCGTTGGCCTCCCTGTTTTTTGATCTTTTTGACACGTGACTTGATGAGTTGACTTGATGAGTTGACGAGCAACCTTCCTCCGGACAGGTGGAGGACGGCGCAGTTGGAGATTGGGAGCTGGAGTTGCAGGTTCCCCCTGACATAACCAGCAGACTTTCACATCTTGATGGATGAGCTATATAATATAGGCTTTATATAGGATCCTATATGGGCCGTTACAATTGTTTGTCGCATGTGCAGACCACTTGGACTGGGCAGGTCTGCTTCCACACGTCTTTGATTGCGCTTGCTGGTGGCTTCACACGTTTTCCTTCCACTGAGATCGACCATGCAGCTGAACTGCCAGAAGGCAAGATGCCGTGCTTTTGGAAGTTGTGGCAGAACCCTGTGCGGACTGGGACATTGGTGTGCTTGATGCATTGAAAATGGGTGCAATATGAATCATGTGTTTGCAAAAATATTTGAAGGCAAGGCTCAACCTTGTCCCTTTCCTGAAATTTAACCCTTGTTCATACACCGTCTCGCACGTACACACATCATGAATTGACTATACATGTCATTTAATCACTTTGAATCGCGTCGCCAACTTCAAAGTTGCACCTAGAATCTGGCCATCGGCAGGTTGTACCTTGGATGTTTTCGTAGAACGGCTCAATGGTGGTCAGGCAGGACCAATTTCGGTCGTTGGGCAAGCAGACAGAAAGAAACCACACGTTGTAAACGTTGATGTTTCATTTGCAACGATTCATCACATGAGTTCTTATAGTTCTTACATTTTCTCACGGTTTCCCTGAGAAATTTCTAACGACACCCTGAAAGGAAGATGCCGATGGCTCTGGTTCAGCTGCAGCGGCAGTGGCTGAGCGGCTACTCGCTCAAGCAATCGCTCAAACTGACGACTTGGAGACCCAATGTGTTTGTGGCTGCCCAGATAAGGTCTTGATGCGCCAAAATCCAACTTACAAATCTTACAAATACTGCCAGAGAGGGCCAAAAGAAACCCAAGATTCTGCACCTGAGTGAAATTTGGCTTTCCACAGTAGCTGTGTCTTACACCAGTGTGTCTTTGGGACTGAGGTCCAAACAATCCCCAGCATTTCGGCTGCAACCTTGTGTGAAGATCTGCGCTGCTCAAAGTTGATGTTTGTGCTGCCCGACCACCAACAGCGATGTGATAACCGGAGAGACAAAATAGATCAAAATAGTACGTATAGTACGTCTTTGAATGTATTTGCGTTCGGCTGCTCAGGATGCGCAATTTTTTGACCTTTCTGCAGATGATGGGGTTGAAACTCAGGATGCGCGGGCCATGGCCTTGGATGGAACACCAATCCCTATATAGGTACTGATTTGATCTGATTTGCAGAAACCACAAGCTTTTCTGGAGAAGGAAGCAAACTGAATTGCATACACAATCCTGACAATCCATAAATAGCATTAAATATCCATAAATTCATATAAATTCGATTTAACATGATAAACATGCGCTGAGTCCAGTGACCAAGGCGCCGCGTGAATCCAGCCGCCTTTCAGCTGCTGTGCAGCATAGAGGTTGTTACTGTTGCAGATGCGACTAGGTACAGTGGGCGACAGTAAACAGAGTAAACACATGCATATAAAGATATATAAAGATATATAAAGAACAAATCAATCAGCCAGTCAATCAGTACGGAATCAGTCAAACAAATCAATCAATCAGTCAATCAATCAATTATTCAATCAAGCAATGATTGAAGAGATGAATGAGCAAACGTGTGAAACGTCCATTTTTTGGTGACGCAAGGTTTTTGCACCAGATGACATCGACGCCTTCTTTGACGAGTTGTGATTTGAGCACACCAACAGAATCTGGTCACCAAACAGATTCGCGCCATTTGTTAATTCGCCCACCTTCGCCTACTTGTACAAAGCAAACTGCCATGCTCGGCAGAATGGCTGGCATAGGCACATAGCATCTCGTTGTAGGCGAACCTCTACCTCAGCTGGAAAAAAGGCAAAAAGAATCAAACAGATTCAGATCGAAACTTGAGCACAGCACATGCAGTTCTTTTTGTGCAACTTCTTGCTGCAGTCTTGTCAAACTTCTGCTAGGTTGTATAGCTTCTCTGTCGGCACCTTACGTTTGCATGTTTTGCAATCACTTGATGCATTCTGTGCCCAAGCCCTATTGGTATTGTTGATCACGTTTCCAATGACAGGTCCGAATCGTTCCACTTCTGTTCGAATTCCGTGAAATTCGGTTTTGATCCGGTTTTGCATTCTCCATTGCTTTGTCTATTGCTTCTAGATATATCTCGATATCAATTTGATGGCGATCAAACGGATCTGTCCCTTGTCCCAGCTACTTCCACCACTTCCACCACTTCCTCACAACACTCGAAGGCACGGGCACAGCAAAGACACCACCGCGTTGGTGCCTGACCTTGGGGAGGAACAGGTTCGGTTCGGTCAGGTTCAACAGATTGTTCAACAAGCCGGTCGTTCAAAGATGTTCAAAGTGTATCAGACACAAAGTGTTTGAAAAGGAACAGAGAGATAGTGGGTTTTTGGATGTTTTGGATGTTTGGCTATTTTTTGTGCATTTTTTGGTTATAGACTTAAAGACTATTATAATAGTAGTCATGGTATTGAATGTACTGAATTCGTTCACCTTCACAGCTCTTTTTCGGATTGATTTCAGCTGATTTTTAATTCCCGTTAAATCAAGAGCCTCATTACTGAGTCTTCGCCGAGATTATGTATGTGCAGATTGACATTCAGTATTCGTTTAGTTGCAACTGCTTCTTGTGATGCCCGTGTTTCAGTTCTACTCCGGCTCTGCTGACAAGTCCTTGAAGATTTGGGATGTGGGTTCAAGGAGGCCAGGTGTGAGAGCAGAGCTTTCAAGAGTTGGCGTCAACCTACTGAGCACTGAGCTGTACAGTCATTTGACTCATCTACTTGCCTTGGTTCGCACGGTTCGCACGGTTCGCACGGTTCGCACGGTTCGCACGATTCGCACGGTTCGCACGGTTCGCACGGTTCGCACGATTCGCACGGTTCGCACGGTTCGCACGGTTCGCACGGTTCGCACGGTTCGCACGGTTCGCACGGTTCGCACGATTCGCACGGTTCGCACGGTTCGCACGGTTCGCACGGTTTGCACTTGTGAATTTTGTGATCAACGCTTATGCGGTGCTTGGGGACGCACGGTCCTTTGGGAAACAAGTCGTGAACATTCATGAACATGGTATGCAAAGACTATGAGATTTTCTGAGCCACAGAGGATGTGACAGCAATTGCTATTGTTTGCTGTTTTTTTCCTGTCTTTTTGGTGTTCCGATTTTGCATGGTTTTCCTGTTTTTTTCATGTTTTTTTGTGTTACTGTTTTTCTTTAGTTTATTTGTTTTTGTCATTGTTTTTTGTTTCATTGTGCTATTCTTGTTTGCGTTGTTTTGTTTTTGCCTCTTCACTATCTTTTAATTCCAGCAGGATAGGGATCGCTTATGGGAAATAATTGCAATGCATCCTTTTTGCACATAGAGCCGCTCAAATCCAATTTCCCAGGGCCACAAGAAATTGCATCAAAGATTTGGGTCGCCAAGGACGTGTGATGTGTGATGTCAAGATATATGAAGTATTCAAGATCATGCAGTTATACAGATTATATATGATAATTATATCATATTATATACAGTACAGTATACTATACATTAGCAATCATTAGTATACATGCAGGTACAACATACGAAAGCTGTCAAGATCCATGCCATGGACACAAGTACTTTGAGCATAGTCTCACACATTTATTCAGCTGTTCGCCGTTCGCAGTTCGCAGCTGGGCAGGTGCATGGAGACGCTCCTAGGTCATGTGGGTGCTGTATCTTCGTTAGACCTTTTGAACAAGCACGTGCCTCAGAGAGCCTCAAAGAGCCTCAGAGAGCCTCAGAGACAAAGATCACATTTGGACTCAGCGCGAAATGAAATCAAGCTTTTGCTGTTCCTCTCTGATGATGCGTGTCCGAAGAAGCTGATTTCTAGACATTGAAACATATCGGAAGATATCGAAAGATATCGAAAGATGTTGAAAGACACCCAAACTCTAGATGTAATGCTCGATGTGACATGACTCAACGCAATGACTCAACTGATTCAATGCACCCAGTGTGGGTTTCTGCGGTACCTTCACCTAGGGGCCGACCACTGAGTGGCAGTGAAGACAAGACAGTTCGTTTTTGGAAGGTGTGGCTTTTCGCATGTCTTTCATGTCTTTCATGTCTTTCACATTCACGAATCATTCACGTGCCAAATTGCTCATAGTATCTCATAGTCATAGTCCTGATTAGTCCTGCTAGTAAGTCCCTAGATATATTAAAAAACGGCAACAAGTCCATACAAGTCCCAAGTTTCGAGGTGAAATGTCCTGAAAGGAACATTACAAGATTTCCAAGAAAAACACATTTTGGAAAGGAATACTGCACTTTTCAGAGTTCTAAAAGACTGCATTTTGTGCATAATATGCATTCAAATGTTTTCTGCTGGGAAACTTTTCACGGGATAGGAACGTCTTTGCCAAATCTACAGGCCCGCTCCTATCTCATGTGTTCGAAAAAAAAACAGTAACACATTGTGGGCACATGCATCGGGCAAGCAGTTCGGAACAGGTTTTCTTGTTTTGATCTGCTCAACAGTGTGTAACACTGGTATCCAGATGTAAGACTCACTGAAGACTGTGCCTGCCTTAGTCCTATCTTATTAGGCCTGGATTAGGATTGATTTCAAGATTATTTCATATTATTTCATATTTTATAATTATTTCATAGGTTTCCACATGAGTTAAGACAGCTGAGATGAGAGTCAAGAGTTAGCCTGCATAATGCCTGCATAGTTCAATGGTCAGCCGAGTCTTAGAGTTTACGGATCACGCATCATTCGCATCATTCGCATCATTCGCATCATTCGCATCATTCGCATCATTCGCATCATTCGCATCATTCGCATCATTCGCATCATTCAGGAGGTGCACTGAGTCAGGGTTGTCACATGTCACATGTCACAACGTTGTCACAACGTTGTCACAACGTTGTCACAATCAGAGCCTGAGATTCCGTTTCTTCTGGACCAGGCATGATTGCCCTTCAAACCAGTTTTTTTCGAACATTTTGAACCACAAAGCCACAAAGCTTGTGAAATTGTTGCAATTTGTTGCATTTGGCTTAGTTTGTAATGCATTTGTATCTTATTGTTGCAGCATTGTTGCATGCATTGCATTAGTTGCATTAGGAATTAGTTGCATTGGCCAGGTGGACAAGGGAACTCATTTGATGTTCACAAGGCGAGCCGAGATCGAAGCGGGCGACGGCGATGGCAGAATTCATGGCATTTCATGGCTTTCTAGGCTTTCAACTAGGCACACGCTAGGCACACACTAGGCACACTACCCAAACTACCCGAGATCAACAGAGCTTAGGAACCTTTTAGAATCTTGATAACTCTCGAAACTCGGTGAATCGTCGGGAATTCGGACCTTGAATTTTCGAGTGTCCTACAGTTCTCCTCTTTCCAGAGAACCATTTGGGAGCGCGTTGGATTCCAGGCACACTTACGCCGTTGATGCAGTTTGCATCTCAGACCAAGATCGATTTGTATCTGGTGGCCAGGCTGGGCCCGCGTGTTTGACAAACAGCACTGGAGCATTTTCTTTTTTGGGGGCTTGTTTTAGGTTTTCTTTGCAATTCTCTAGGCACAATTTGTCATAGTGGCCTGCAAGCGGCTTGCAATCTTATGGGTTCAAGTCCGAAATTGGTCAGGACGGCCGCCTCATGCTTTGGTCGAGCACTTCTAAGAAGCCCTTGGCCACAAGCTCCCTAGGCTTGTGACATTCTGTTCCTTATCAACATGTGTTCGGGTTCATTCAAAGAGCGTCAGTCACCGAACAAGAGACATGACCATGCAATGCTTGCTTTAGGTCACACTTGTTCCACTAATGTTCCACTTGTTCTGCTTTTTTTTTGTCATGTGTTGTCACTGTGTTGTCCTGCTGATTATGCTGCCTGTATGCTGTGAAATCTTAAGTTGAGGAGATGGGAAGTGGGTGGCTTCCCTGTCAGCTGGATCCTCGGATATCCTCGGTTCGTCAAGCAGCACTGCATCGGTGGGTGACTGTTCAGTCGCTCAGTACTCCAGTGCCCAAACTCTGGTGATGGTGATTTGTCGGTGCAGTACAGTGCAGATGGTTGTACCAAAACCAACTCAATGGAAAGTTCTTCTTTCCCAAGCTTCAGCATTGAGGTCTCCAATCTTTCGCAGCTTCTTCCGAAATGACTTGTCCTTTCGGCATTTTTTTAAAGGTTTTGTGTGGTTTTTGTGACCATGCCTTGAGACGACTCTTGCCAAGGCTATCAAGCAAGCCAATGTCTTCTTCTCCGGTTCCGTTGATGGAGCGCTGCGTGGCTAATGCGTAGCAGCATACGAAGGGGAGACTCTAAAAGAAGGGAAGACTGCCAGTTTAGAGATTTTAGAGAGGCCATGAGCCCATGCGAGGCCCATGAGAGGCCCATGGTTTTCATGGTGGTTTTCATGGTGACAATGCAACGGGATGTCTCCGCACCAATCGAACACATGAGGCTTCGTTCTTGGCGTTTTGGCCGAGATGAGGAGGCCCAGTTCCATGAACCCAAATTTGTCGGACTTTACAAAACAAAGATCAATTGTAAAGTCAATTGTACAATATTGTACAATATTGTACATAAACACATGTTCTGATGTGTTTAATTTTCGTGTTCAGAGCAGCTTCTAGTACTCCGATTTTAGTGTCTCCGCGCAACAGTCTCACCTTGAAGCTTGCTAAACTAGAAGTTAAATCAACTTAATTCATAGTGACAAGGACTTTCCGACAGTTTGCGTTGTGCAGATGATCTTAAAGCGCTTTAACCAGCTGAAGAATGTTTGATTTAGTGCACACGTTGCTGTTTGGAGGGAGAGCAGAAGGGACTGCAGTTGTTTGAAGCCGCCGAGTCCATACCTAAGATCCTGAGAATTCCTGAGATATGTCATGTGCTGCAGTATTTTCCATGTGATGCAGGCGTCCTTCGACTAGCACTAGGGTAACCCATGGGTAACCCCAATGACTGAAGACGGAAAGGGGAAGCAAGGTAGAAGGACTATGCCTATGCAATTGGCCGGTAATTAGAAGGACTATGCAATTGGCCAATATGATGCCAAGATGGAGTATATTTCTATTTGTGATGCTCAGGCCAATCATGGCTCCCGGGTGCATCAATCAAATCGCAGTGGGAAAACGTCTCATTGCTTGTGCAGTTGGAAAGGCCAGCAGCATTTTCTTGCCACCAGTTGCCTTGAAACGAGACTTTCACAATTTTGCTTGGTTTGGATGTGTTCTGCCTTTCTTATTGTTTCGTTGTAGTGGTGCAGGAGCACAAGTTCGGGCGGTGGTTTTACGACAAAAAGGAGAAAAATGGTGTTCTCTTGGTCCAAGAGCTTAGTTGTTGTATTGCTGAATGTGTCATGTAATTTGTTGAATGGGGGGCCTGGAATATTGCTTTATATGTTCTAGGCTCAATTGAGCTCATTTGAGCAGGACTTGGATTCTACCTACAACTACCGAGGTTCCTCTCTCATACAAGGAGGGCTGAGCCACCGGCAGGGTTTGTAAGACTAGCGCTGCAGCTGCACAAAGGGTGCTGGATGTACATAGGTCGCAGATTGGAGGTCAACAGGTCTCCCTTTAAGCCCAGTGATACAACCTGGCAGCTGTTCAAAATGTTCTCACGTACCTTGCATTTGGCAGCAGATAGCACAGATACAACACAACTGCTATGGACACTGGGCGTTTTGTCTTGTAACAGCAGATGACAGCATGGTGCAGTGATAACCTAATAGCCAGAAGACTGCCTCCAACTCGGTCTTTATGTTTCTCTCGGCACCATATTCTGGTTCAGTCGGTCCGATGACCTTCTGCTACTTTTGTCTTTTGTGGCTGAGGACTTAGTTGTGAAGACGATTTTTCCTACACTTTCCTTTCACACTTTTACTGTGGTGTTTTCGAGAAGGCTGTAAGGCATTGTAAGGTGTTGTCCGATTCTGTCCATACCACGAGGCTTTGACACGCTGGACACGTGATGGACACATGATGGACTTTGCCTGAGGTTTAACCTATGAAGCCATGGACCTTCGCGACATGTGCTTCTGCAGGCGCACAGCATGTCAAACCAGTGTCAGTGGCGTTGGAAGGGCAGAGGCTGCAGACTGTACTCAAGCAAAAAAACTGCAGATCTTCAACCCATTCTGAAAAACTGTTGGATGAAACCGTACATTTTGCATCATTTTGCTGTCCTGTTCAAGTTGTCCCAAGCATTTCCCAAGCTGTGCTGTTGGGGTCGCTTTGCCCCAAGGTGCCTTTGACAGTTGGCAATGGCTCAGTTCCGAAGCTCGAATGGGAACGTTTGCCCAAGCAGCAGCCTGAGTCACAAAATCGAAATCGAAAGAAGTTGATCCAACTGATCCAACTGATCCAACTGGCCTTGAGTCGAATCTGGGATCACTCGGGGCTTCAAGGGCAATGCTTTGTGCTTCCTAATCTTCCTAAGGTGAGAGAAGCCCCCAGAGATCGCCGAAAAGATCGCGAGTTCTTGGAGCGCTCTCTGCGCTCTCTGCGCTCTCTGCGCTCTCTGCGCTCCTCGACTCTGTCGACTCCGAGTTCGATGACTTCGGCGACTTCGGTGACTTCGGGCTGTCCGAGTTCCGCCTCTCGGCCGAGCTCCTGGACGCGGTGGACCCCGCTGGCCGCTCCGCTGCTTCTGGTCTCGCTCCCGAAGTGCAGACGTGCCAAGCTGAAGGCAGGAAGAGAAAGACAGAAAGACAGAGAAAGATTAGAAAAGAAATGAGCAAAAAAGAAACGAATGGAGGGAAAACCATAGAAGAATGGGAAAGTGAAAGAAAGATGGAGGGGAAACAGACATGGAAAGACAGACGAAGAGAAAGTTCTGACATAAACAGACTTGCCACGAAAGATTGACTGGGCCTATGGCTGCCGGTGAGGGTTGAGGACAGATGTGAGTCAACCGTTGCAAGGTCTCCACCAGGAGAATCCCATGTGCTGCTGAGGAGGCAAGCAGAGCAAACGAAATCATGACCCGAGTGTATGGATTATATGTGGATGATCTGAGTAAGCGACAAAATTATACAAAATTATTGTAGTACTCATTTGGTCTTGCTTCGCCTTGGCCTTGCTGAGGGGTGTGCAAAACCTTCATAACCTACCCCTGTTTTGCACGAATCGCCTCAAAGTCTGTGAACGCAGAATTTTTCACTACCGAGAGGGGAAGACCCTAATTTGCGCATGGCACCAAAATGAACACGTAATTTTGTCCGCCATTCATACGGAAAACACAAATAAACAAAGGACATATTTCATGATACTTCAGTGTTGCTTCAGATGTGTTTCCTTTGTCTGCAACGCTTCCACTCCCTGCGTAAGCACTACTGAGTACTACGTAGTCTTTGTTTTGCAGCTCCTCAATTTTTTTTGTCAAGACTGAAGTTGAGCGTCAAGTTGAGGAATCCAAAGAGTCTATGAGTATGGACTTTCTGCAAAAGCTCATTCAAAAGCAGCGATCGGCCACTGAGTCGGGAGCCCATCTCAATTTATCTCAATCTGGCCTGCCACTCTTTCTGCAAACAACTTCGAATGGATAAGTTAAACCGTTAAACCCACTTGAATCTTGGAACATTTGGAACATTGTAAAACAGCTGAGCTGTTTTCAATTATACACCTAGGCTGGGAATCTGCACCAGAGAGTGGCATCCCGAGATATTTGATGATGTCCCGCAAGGCTGGAAATCTGTAGACTGTCTGTAGACTGTCCGTAGACTCCGTAGACTCCTGTTAGATATTGTTAGATATTGTTAGATAGTCTGTGTCGACCATGTGTCGACGTCAAGATGACGAAGTGTTTCCTTATGTTCAGATTTGCCGCATCTTCATGCCAGATGGCCATGGATAGAATCGGATAGAACAGTTATGGATCCATCATGAATCATGATCCATTTTTATGTCAACCAAGATAATACGGGGCCGGATTCTGTCAGAGTGCATTGGATTTTGTGGCCCTACTGGATTTGCTATACGGGCTGCAATCAATGACAAGGATGGAAAGGATGGAGCGAATGAACAGGTTTTTGTATGTCCACGAAGTGAAAGCATGCTGTATGTCAAGGTATGTCAAGGTATGTCAAGGTATGTGGGTTATGTCGTGCGTGGTCTGCCTGGCTGGACTAAGTTTCCACTTCGGCGAACTTTGGCAGGCTATCGAGATGCATTGGAGTCTGGGATAGATCTTGTGGACGTGCTGGCGAACAGCAGTGCTTTGCAGCTCCTAGTGACTTTGGCATCGTAGCATTTCGATGCGTACCAAGTAGCCTTGAATCATCTTGAACCCAAAGCCTTATACAACCATGTACAACCTACAGGCAGCTCATGATGCTCATGCAACACTTCAACCAACACCTCAACATATCTTAACATACTTTAACCATCTTTAACCATTTTGAAGCTCCCTTGTCCACGCTGCCAATCGACAACCTTCCAGGCTGATGCCACCAAAAGTCAGCCTCGGTTTTGCGTGCGTGTCGCACCGAAACCGACTTTGGGTGCTGTTCCCAGAGTGAATTCCCAGAGTGATCAACGAAGATTTGCAACGTAGATTCGAGTTCCCTGGTGATTGGACATGCAGACACCTAAATGACCCAAATCATCCCAAATCCTTCAAACTGCTTCTCCATGCTTTACCTTTTAAGGTCTGGGATACGTCCTCAACAAGAATCTGGTCATGCATTTGACGGCTCTTGAGCTGCACATGGATACATCATATGGATACAGGATACATGGCTGATCCAAAGAAGGGACTGGGGAAGCATCAACTTCGAGTTGCGTTCGAACATGTCGTTATCTCCATTTTGGCATGAGTCAGACTTGACTGCACGTGCTTTGTCTTTGAGGTTTTGAGCCCACTTCAGCAAACCATGAAAAGGCCTGCTTGACTAGAAACAAACAACAGGGCTGGTTGCATCTTGTGCAAATTTCTGCGATCTCACAATCGTCATAGATTGGCAGTTTCTCATAGTCTCTCCACAGGCTCAACGTTGGATACATCGAGACCTTGACCATCCACAGCGACGGCCAAGGATGATGTGACCCACAGCTACGCAGCATGTGACACAGATGATGCAAAATGCAGTCAATTAGTCATAATTAATCAATTAATCAAATTTTCAGCTTTGAAATTCATTGATGTCTTTGTATGTTTCGAATTGTCCAATGCTGCTCGATGCTCTAATGATTCTGGTGTTTGACAAAGCTGCAGGACGGATGCACTTTCCCTTCTGGGTCTTGTCCTGAGAGGGTGACTGCTCGAGCATGACAGAATGTGCTGCGATCCTTTGCGATCCTTTGTGATCCCTTGTTCAATTTGTTCACGCAGATTTCGCAGCACTGCAAGGTTTACGATGCGGTGGTAGAAGCCTACCAGTCATGAACTTGGAATCAGATCTGCAGCAACCCAGTATCAGTAGAATCACTTAGGATCAGTAGAAAAGTAAGATAATGCCAGTTGCATTCAGTCCCATCAGTGCGAAAAGAAGCGAGGAAAGGGCTCTGCTCCCGAATTGGCATCAGCCACCCCAATGCAGACGTCAAGGCCGTGATGCAGGCTAAGCAGGACAGTCAACTGAACATTGTTGTGCATCTATATACGCATATCATATTAAATGATTTATTATATATATACACAATATAATAATATATTATTGTATATAATGTTATACATTAGATATCATTGATATAATATGCCAATCAGAGATGGTATCATGGTATCATTGTCAATGATGGCTTCGTCATTTTCTCTTTGGTGAAATGAATCATCATGGCATCAGTTTTGCTCACCGCTGCAAGATGCTGCAAGATGCTACAAGCAACTGAAGCTTTTTGAAACCTTTGAAGCTGGTGAGGAGCTTGAGAAGCGCGGTGCAACGTTCTGCTGCCAAGTCTACTTATTGATTGATTGCCTGTTTTTGTGATTCCCGAGCAGACAAAATTCCAAGACAGTTGGGACTTGCCTGAACCTTGCACTGTCATCGGCTTGTTTCTGGGCTGGCGTACGAGTCCAGCTCTGTGGGTATAGCTGTCAGGCTCTCTTGTGTCGGGCCCCTGACGTCGTTTGACATTGGCAAACTGCGTAGCATCAATCTCTCAGGAAAGCAACATGATTTTTGGCCTTTTTCAATTTTGGTTTGAGGACCTTTGCTCAGGAGTCTCGCTTTTGACCCAATGACATGCAATTCCTTTATATATATAATATATATATATGTATATAGAAAGTTGAGTCTCTGAGGTATTTGTGAATCTTTCCCTTCTTGAGAGGGAGGTGCTTTTGACGTTTCTTCTGAAGCTTTTCTTGCATTTTTCAATGTGCATGGCAAATGACGGTTACCAGATGAATTGACTACTACAGACTTCCAACATTTTCCAACGATGAACACAAAATGTTCAGAAGGTAGGCCTTATATTTGACCAGCGCTGCTCATGTGTAGCTTTGTTTCGCCTTGCAGGCTCTCCAGTTGGTCAAGGATTGTCGAGCCGAAGGACTGCAGGTCACTTGTACCCAAATAGACCAACATCAAACCAACATCAAACCAACAAGTCAACATCAGCAACTAGCGGGAGTCCTGTGCGAGTCATACGGCGTCGTGGATAGCATTCGATCTGTGGCATCCAGTAGACAGCCGGCTGCAAGGTTTTTGCGACAAATGTCTTGGGACCTGATGAGCTCGCGCGACAACCTCATTTCTGTTTCGAGGGAATACCGCACTCGCTGGCACGTTTTTTTTGGACACCATTCTACGACATCACTCTGTACTATTCTGTACTATTCTGTACTCTGTTTTGTTTTGCAGCTACAGATGTCCTGACAAGTGAATTCGTTTGCTTGATATCTCCAGATACGTTTACGAAAGCACAGACCGCAGTTATTCGGTCAACAATCCCATGAAACATAGCCAGAGTATTATGTGAGAGCATGATCACATAAGGGGCGGGTCGGAGGGTTGTCCTTTGCATTGAGACCTGGGAGTTTCGATAGTTTGAGACCCCGTGTCCACATGCAATCCGGGATGGTTTGATCAGTTTGGCTTGTAAATCAAGGTCTGGCAGATATACTGCTGCCAATCCAACTGGTCCGCTGCTCAAGCAGATTTGTAAACACTTGCAACAGTGCACAACCTTCGCAGTGTACAATTTGTACAATTGTGTTATTGACCGCTTTAAAATACTTTAAACACATTTGGAATTTTTGGTACACTGTGGGAGTGACTTGGGCTTCCGAGGTGGTGAGATTTCAGTGCCACGATTCACTCTATCTCAACTGATGCCGTGCCAAGCCCAATGTCCAGAGCCACAAATTGGTCATTTGCACAGTTCCACAATGTTGCACAATGTTGCACAATGTTGCAGATAGCCTGCGGCTTGGGAGTGACTCGCAGCTGATTCTTCCTTGAGTAAAGGGAACCGTGAATCCACTTAGTCAGAGTTTGTATCCTTTACAAGTAGACTATGTTTATTTTTTCCTATGATTAAACAATATGATTAGACTATGATTTACGCTTTGCTATGCTTTGCTACGCTTTGCTACGCTTTGCTACGCTTTGCTACGCTTTGCTACGCTTTGCTACGCTTTGCTACGCTTTGCTACGCTTTGCTACGCTTTGCTACGCTTTGCTACGCTTTGCTACGCTTTGCTACGCTTTGCATATTATTTGTGAAGTCCAGAGTCCGCTTCACACAGTCTCAGTAAACGTGATGAAAGGCTCCGCCCCCTCCACCAAGCTTTGGAAGATGTGGTGAAAGGGCTCAGGCACCACGGCACATTGTTTCTGGCAAATTATTTGAAATGCAAGTTTCAGAATGTTTCAGAATGTTTCAGAACACTGTGAGAATTGCTTCAAATGCCAAACTGTCTTGAAACATCTTGAAACAATACCTGACAGTCGAATGACTCTATTTTGTTTGAATGGACGCTTTGGAAAGTGTTTGGATCTTGTCTCCCTTCATCTGCACAGTTCCTGCAAGCGTTGAAACACGTGGTGGCCATGCAGGATACGAGCTGAGAAGCCTGAAATCAACACAACGCAGGCGCCGCAACTTTGACCCCAGTGTTGCCGAGTGCTTCACGGTGTTTTTTTTACGGTACTTTATCATCTTGCCTGGGCACTGCTGAGCGCTCATTTCAATCGGAATTTCAGGATCCTAAAATGGAGGTACTGTACCATATAAGGCTATATTTTATGGGGATGTTCCATTACATAGGCCTTACATAGGCCTTATATATGGTAGGTACCTCCAATTTAGGATCCTGAAAATCCCATTGATCATTACGCACTCGATCAGGTTGCGTTGCAATGGGTCGTGAGCAAGGGGGCCAGCCCTATGTGCGATGTTTGGTTCTCAGACAAATGCTCAAAAAGCACAGGACAGTCGGTGTGAAAGTCGTTGTACTCGTAGCTGCGGTGTATGGCGATGCAGCGAGTCTACTGGGTCTACTGGCTTGACTTCCACACAGAAGACCCTCCACCTGCAATTTTGAGGTCACTACAGAAGCAAATGCCAAGGCGGTGACTGGCTGCACAGGCACAACATTGCAGGAAGAACAATCAAAAATAACAGCAAAGTCAAAATTATATTGACATCAGCCATTCTTATTTTTGAAGATCTTTCAAGAAACATTGAAGCCTGCTTGTGTGAAATGTGGAACCCTCGGGAAGGTGAGGACGGCAACTGGAAACTGACCCCTGATGAAGAAGCTATGTATGAACACTCAGCACGTGCTTCCGCAAAGCAGCGCTTCTCTGCTTGGCAACCTCAATGCCCTCAGTGCTTTTAAGACTTTTGAACAACTTCAAGAAAAACCTATGTAGGGTTTGGACCTTTTCTTACGAGTTTCTAAAGCTTCTATGCTTTGCTTTGCTGCTGTTTGCTTTGCATTTTGGATCTTTCGATTTCTTTTGGATAACAAGTTGTACCAGTGTTGAGGCTGGATGCAGCCGCCGACGAAGTTGCAAAGTCTCGTCGAAGGCGGCGATTTCGTACACAGTTCGTACATTCGTAGAGCTCCTCGAAGGCGTTTTCATCTCGTCATCTCCGCTCTGATTTGGCGTGAAACTTCTCTGCCTTGGAGGTGGTGATCAGTGATGGCCTTCGCTCCGTCTGCAGCTAAGTTGTGAAGACAGTTTCAAAGCCCGACCCATTCTAATTTTTAACATTCTTATACAGTGGGTCAGTGGGTTTCGTGAATGATGCATCGCTTCAGCTAAGGACAAGGAATCCATGTGGAGGCCAGTGGAGGCTTCTCAGCAAACGCGTAGTTGCAGCGAAAGATTTCTTGACAGGGCAGCAAACAAATTCATAGGGCTCATAGGGTCATGTGTCATTATGAAGCTGAGTTGAGTTGTCTGTGACTTCTTTCATGCATCTCTGCCATCTCTGCCATCTCTGCCATCTCTGCATATCTCTGCACTCCCTTCGGTTGGGACTCCTGTGTTTAAGTGCTGCTCAGAATGGTTGAATTGCTTCAGATGGTGAATCTGGCGCTGCCAAAGCGCTGTCGCATGTTGCGAGTAACAAGAGGGCCTTCGCAGCGCCGAAAATGCTTGCGTATCTCGCCTTTTGCGAAGCAGTTCCTGTATCTTTTCCAGAATTCCGTGCTTGTTGAAGACCGTGTGTAGTTGAAGAACCACAGGGTGCCGAGGACCGGGCTTGTTCGAACAGCGCTTTGATATGTTTTGATATGCTTTAGTGTTTTTAGTGAGTTTGGTATGCGTGTATTCAACAGATTCACAAAGCTTGCGCCACTCCAATTGCCAGTGACTCCGCAGCTATCCGGGCTCATGGATGGTGATGCTTGGTCCCCTGCTTCAAGCACTATTTGAAGCGTGCAGAGCCAAAGCCTCAATGCAGCTGTGATGTATTTTGATATTGTAAACCAAATGGCAACCAGGAAGCCAGTGAAAGTTGTAAACATCACTTCCAAAGGTGCATGGGTAGCGACAGTTCTGGCAAGGTGCATGGGATACCACTTGATACCATGGCATCCATGGCATACTTGCAATATCTTGCAACCCCCCGGATACTTGCGACTCTGATTGTCGGAGCTAGATGGAGCAAAGAACTGATTTGGCAAGATTCATTCATGCAGCACTTCGCACCTGCAATGTTCACTGATGAGGGAAAGAGGTTGTGATTGAAACTCAGACGCGACAACAGCTTGACCACATTCCCGTGCACACGAAAGCCCAGCCTGTTGTCATTTTACACAGCATATTCAGCAAGCATAAGATGACTATGGAGTTTTTTCATAGTTTTTTCCCTGACTGATCATATTTCTGTTTTGGCTCGATTTATATTGTGATTTGGTCACTGCTTTTGAAGATGATTTCACCAGACCAACCAGACCCGACAGGGATATAGGTCTTGAGCGCCTCTAGAGTGAATTGATGCAGTGCGGGCAGTGCGCTTGTGTTCGCGACTTTTCACGGGCAGGAAAGCAGCTGTGAATCTACTGCCAGCGCCAAAGGTAGGGCCCAATTTCAGAATTTTATGGCACTCTACAGTTCAGTAGATTCTATAGATTTTTTGCTTTACTTATTCCTTTGCAGGCTTGGGCCTGGGCCAATGGTTATTTCAAGGCCAGGGCCAGGGAAATTCGGCTGACTTTGCTGCATCTCTCTCATGTCCCAGATGTAAATGAGATGACACACCTCAATCAGAGAAATCACTAGGCTGCAAGGGCCGCAGTTGCGGGAGCTGTTGATTTGATCCGAATTTTGCTTCAAACCATTGCAGAAATGCTGCTTCAACCTGAGTCTTCCAGGACATGTCGGACATGACTGTATTCTCTAGGAAGATGAGGAAGCTGCTACTGTTCGAGCCAGTTCTTATCCGCAAATATTGCGATACAAAGACTTGTTATACAAACACTTACACAGCCGCTCCTTAAATACGATAACTATGTTTAAGTTGGTTGGTGTGTGTTTCAATGACTTTGGCATCATTAGCTTGGCAACGCTGCAGGGGAAACAAACACAAGATGACATTCTAGATGTCTGCATCTTTAGCATGGCTGGCAGGGGTTTTGCAAGTGCATTGCTGCTGCGGCGAGCTAGAATCTCAGAAGTAAAGAATCAGCCGACCTAGTTGCTGGCATTGGTTCAAAAGCTTGTGAACTAGTTTAAAGTTGAAATTTGAGAAAGCTTCTAGCAGGACTTAAACGTTTACTTTGGTTTGTTCGCAGCGTCAATCCAGGGTGCATTATTGCAAATTTTGGATACAGGTGAACATTTTCAGCAGAGTCCCATTCAAAAAGGAACTTTGGAATCGGTAGAGTCAAATAGATGCGCTAAATGTTTCGAATTGTGCAAACCTAATACATGTATAATTAAATAGTTTTTGAATAGTTATATAAATAGTGACAGTGATATCAATACTTATATAAATAGTTATGTAAATAGGTATATAAATAGTTTTATACATAGTTGTATAAATAGTTATTATTATATGAATACTTATATAAATAGTTATATAAATACGTTTATAAATAGTTGTTTTCATATAAATAGATATATAAATAGTTACATCATTATACAGTATTGTATATACTATATAGATACATGATAATACATATTATATATATACACATGTATACACACACAGATACAAATTACGATATCTATAATGCAATTCACGCGCGCACACACACACAGTACATTTGTTTCTTTTCTGAGGCGGGCGAAGGCCCTGGAAGAGCCGCAGAGTGATGGTTCCAGACTCTGTTCGAGCACTGTAGCATTTTGTCTCATCTCAGCTGTTTTTCTCCTGTTTCTTTTTTGAAGAGCCATTGGCTAACGCGCATTGGAATGTCAGCTTTGCCTGGCTTTGCCATTCCATGTATCTGAACATGTGCCAAGTTTATAAGTCTTTTACGATGACAGAGTTAAGCCTACCGACCAAAAAAAGAGACACTTCCGGGCCCGACAATTCTCAAGAGTTTCTTCCAAAAGGCCTGTCTGAACTGACAACTGGTGTCATTTCAACACCTTTTCTCCACTGAAACTGGCTTCTGTGATCTTTTTGCATGTGATTTTGCTGATAGTCTAGAAAACTAGAAGGCCCAGAAGGGCGACCACAGATGGTGATTTCGTCTCCAAACTCCGCGTTTGATTGGCTTGATTGGTACGGTATTGGTTTGATTGCCCCCTTACCATGGTGTATTACATTGTATTATATACATTTATATACCAGTGTATATTGAGCCCCTTCGCATGCACAGTTTCCAAAGGGTGGAGCGATCTGCTGTTTTGCATTCAACTGAGAGATTAGGGACCAGGGAGTGGCATCGGCATGCTGAGGCGGAGAAAACTTTGAGGCACTGTGGACAGTATTCGGTCATTGAAGTTTGGGAATCTTGATCCTGAAAGTCTTCTGAGGCATCTCAGGGCTAGTCCAAAATGCTGCACGGAATGACGTACATGTAAATATATGTAGACTTGAGATACAAGTTCAAGGACCAAAAACCAGCAAAGCTCTGCAAAGCTCCTAATCTTTGGACTCTAGTCTTGGGAGTCACGTTTCGGAGGCTAGCTTCACACTGGGGAAGCTGATTGGACATGGTAGCTTCGGGAAAGCAGCTTGGCTCCGCTTGGCTCAACTTGGCACATAGTTTGTCCAGCTACGGAGTGGTTGAGCGTTTATGATGCTTATTAACTTATAATTTGTCTTGATCTGAATCCGATTCGCTTTATCTAAATCGTGTCTTGAAGACTGCTTCAGGATGTTGCACGGACTTGTAGTGTTTCGTGAAATAAAGTTGGTATGAAGCTGCAGATCTATTTCCAAAACAGAGTTGTGGAAACACACTCTCGAAACTGTTCTTCTCGCACGTTCTACGCAGATGTTAAACAGAGGGCCGTGTTCGATTTTTGCACACAAGGCATGCAGACAGTCCACAAGATAGCTTCACTGGAGGTTGCTACTAGCTCTGTTGTTTTCCTTTTTGAAGACGACTACAGTTATCAAATGCTATTACTATTACTGTAATGATCACACAGGGATGGATAGCAGAAATGACTCTTCAGTACGTGTTTGGGTGTTTGTAAAGCTATATATATATGATTATATATGTTGTATATGTATACACATGTGTATGTATGTTTATATATATTATATATATATGTGCACATACACATGTGTCAATACATACGAGCATATGCGAGTGAGGGTCTGGGTTCACACTTTCAAATGCATTCAGATTCAAGTCATGTGTTGCCCAGAGAACTCGACAAACTAGCCCAAAGTCCCCTTACCTCATACTGGTTGCACATCTGACTCTTTGTGCTTGAAAGTGCTTGGATAGTCTTCTGACTCCAAATCCTTTCAAACGCACGGTTTTTTTTCTGCTCCAATTAGGACGGAAACAGGAACTTGCATGGTTCGTTGCATGATGTAGATTTGGAGCAAAGGGCTTTCAGCAATGAGTCTTTCTGGGGACAACTGGCATAGAGAGGATGAAAAGTTTTGATGAAAAGGCTTCAGAGCAACTTGAGCCTACTGTCCATATCTGTCCATGCCCTCCTTGGAGATCCTGAGGTCTATGCATGTCAATCAAGCTCCAATGAAAATCTTTGTGCGCGCAACTGAGTTGTGCAATGGGCCAATTACTTTTTGGAATGTAGGCAACACATGACATGGCAAGCCATTGAAAATTTCGCTATGCTTCGTAGAAGGGCTGCTTGCTTTCCTTCGCACGACTCTGAAGTTGGGTGTCAAAAAGTTTCTGCAGATGCTAACGTTGCACGCAGGGAGAGAGTATCAGACAATTGGCACAGAGCATTCCTGAAATGTGTTCAAGATCTAAAATGTTGGTCAGAACAGAGGTGAAAATTGTTGCAACCAGCAGACGTCACGGTGCACATGTACGTTCCCCAGAGCAACCGGAACTGAGGTCACTCAAATTGTGCTGCCCGTTCTTTTACAAATTCATACCTTGCTGTATGTGCTCTAGACATCTCTAGACATCCCTGAATCTTGTGCACATTCTCTTTGTATTTTACTTGTCCATCACTCGGAGAGGGTCGCGCCTAACCTTCGCTAGGTATTTTCTTATCCATAACCTTGGTCTGGATTCACCTCAAAAATGGTAATTTCTTAACCTCAAAGTGAATTAATTTCTCAACCATGGGCATTATATGATAATGTCACTTATTTTTTTGGTAGTATCCTGACAGCTACATTATCCTTCCTTTTCGTCCCATTTCCTTCCTTTTCTTTGATTTTCCCAACATTTCCTGAAAAGGAGCAGCAGAGATAGATAGAAATCCCAGACTTCAAGGTAAAGCTATATATATAATATATATATATACATATGTATATAGACTGTATAGAGATAAACATTGAGTTAAAAGAAATGTTGGTTGAAATTTAAGATCCCATCATCAAAGGTCAGGGGCAGTCGTGATAACTTGCAGTTGTGGGAACTTGGCTGTACGGTGTGTTGCTGTGTGTTGCTGTGTGTTGCCAAGGTGGCCAAACTTCCCAAAGAAGAGAAGTTGGAGCTGCTGAGGCCAATGAAGATCACAGATCTATTCACATCCTA